CCCTTGTTCTCTATGCAGAAGATCAAGTGGCCCTAGGAGGGTCAGCTAATGTCCCTGAAGTATCCATGACCATGTCTCATATCAATCGTTCATGCCCCTCGACCTCATCATCATCAACTAACCATTCCATAACATTGTCCATATTGTTTTATCGGATGGAGTCTCTCTTATCTCTCTTAGCAAACTAGTCCGTCAAGAATCGAATGTATTTGACATAGACTAGGTCATTGAGCCTCTTTGATTCAAGCATGTTCTTTTTCTTTGTATGAATCTAACAAAATCAAATGAAACTAATTAAAATCTAATATCTAGGTTCATGTATTATTTATAAAATTATACAAATTACCCTTACGGCCTTACCCCTTCAAAAGTACTCCAATTGCGCTCACAACCAGATGAAGAAATGGTTAGGTTTAAGATCCGAACGGCCAACTTTTGTAAATTTGGAGAACTATACCCATGTTGGCCCCACCAATGGGCTGCAAAGATATAAAAAAAAATCATAAATAAATAATCGAATTAATCGATTACTTGAACTTCATGAACTTAAGAATATTATTAATACCTGGTTCAATTTTGGCCCTTTGCCTTATCGCCATTGGACTCCCAAAAGATTTTAAAGCACTTGTAATTTATTAGCTCATCAGCGCATATAAAATCCTGGATATCAAGATCAGGGCCTAGCACATCTACACACTTAGTAAATCTATTCATAATTGAGTCATTTGTGTGTATATCTTTGTCAACATAAAAAAAAGCTGGGTTCATATAATAACCAGCTGCATGCAATGGCCAATGTAGCTGCCTATCCTATTTCTCATCAATAATCTCCCAAACAGGCTTCTAGCAGGTTTCGTCATCATTGAAATTTTGGGCTATCTCTCTTTTGCATTTCTCCATAGCCTCATATGTAGCCCATAGAAGGCTTGTCATTATCAACCATGCGAAGGACTTTTATAAGAAGAAAAAATACCTTAACAGCGCCCTTCACCCCTCGCCAAAAAAGCCTTAGAAAGGATAATATCTCTCACCTTCTTCCCAACCTGATCTTTAGACCACTTACATGCTCTCCAGTCATCCGAGGTAAACATCTGTCTCAACTGCACTCTCCTCAAATGTATGTTATCTAGGCATAAGTACCAGATCGCAAATCTCGTGACCCCAGGCCTCACAATCTCTTTCTTCTTTATAAAGCTACGCATCATGCTGAATGTGAGATGGTGGCTATAAATGAAATTTGTAACTAACTTGGCCTTCTTCACTACATCTGATATCTCGGTTAAACTACCAAAAGCCTCAAGCATGAGGTGTATACAATGTGCTGCACATGGTGTCCAAAAGATTCTAAGATAAGCTATGCGCAACAAATTAGTTGCAGCAACATCAAGCGCAGCATTGTCTGGGACAACCTGTACAACAAGATGCTCCTCAACCTCCCTGATTCCCTTCTCTATAACTTGAAATATGTAATGGGTATCACGGATATGATCAGAAGCATCAATAGACCTCAAAAAAACAGTCCCTAAAGGACAATTCACAAGCAAATTCATCTGACTTCTTCTCTTCCTATCACTCCAAGCATCAATCATAATAGAAAGCGCATACTGAGCCCATGCATCCTTCTTAACTTCTACAGTTTCCTTCGTGACACTCACTGCTTTTTTGAAAAAATTGCTCTGAAAGCTGATATGGGGTTTGGGGTTTCATCTCAAGGCCAAATTGGCCAATTGCCTCCACCCCAACATAGAAGCTGCTTAAGCAAGCGGTATTGAAAAGAATGCCCGCCTCATAAAACCATGTAGCAAGATAATAAGCAGCTCTATCTCTCTCTTCCTTCTTGATTCTATTTTCAATAGTGGTTTGCTTCTTTGTTTTCTCTCCTGCAACCTCAAGGTCAGGCCGAGGTAAAAAACTATCCTTAGGGCCGCTAACCCGAGGCTTCTCAGTCCCAAAACCAGAACCAAAAGCAATTACAACTCCTTTCCCCTTTCTCCTAATAATGGATTGGTCAACCTCTTGACATCCCTCCCCAATCCTTTCCTCGTCACTATCATCGTCATCATAATTGACCTGATCCCCAGACCTAATCTCTGCTATAGAGGCAAATCTCTCATCTTTTTTCAGTTTTACCATACTAAAAAATTGTTTATTTCCTCTTTAACAGCATCAGGAGTCTTTTTACATGAGGCAACATCCCCCCTGATACCGACAAGATATTTCTTGAACCGGTTTCTGTCACATTTTGTATCCTTATCACAAAACTTACATCTTATGCAATTTTTATCATTAGGATCTGGGTTGTAGCCATATGTCCAATCAGGATCACCACTCCTATTAGATCCCGAAGAAGACATCTCAAATATAATACAATTTACTAAAGCAATAAAAAAAATCACTATGAGTTTGATTGCTCAATCTTCAAACTTCCACCTCAAAGATGCTTTAGAAGACTCAAAATCTTCTAAAAAACCCCCCAATAGATTTGCAAAACATCAAAAATTAATCTAATATCAATGGGTGCTGTTTTGATCAATTTTTGTTAACTTTGATAAACCCTTCGATCCTAAAAAATTCACGAAAAACTAGTTTTTGGGGGGGCTTTCTCTCTCTAAAATGGGCTCCAATAAGTTTTAGGTTTCAAATGAACCTAAAACCCCAATTTTTTGCTCTTTAGTATAAAATAAATGGACAAAAAATGCCCCACCAAAACCCATTTCTGCCTCTGGGTGGGGCGCAGGCCCTAGGCAGCCACCCAGGGCTAGACGCTAGGCTCCCGCCTAGGCGGCCGCCCGATTTGGCCGCCTAGGCGCTGGGCGGTCCGCTTTTTGAATCACTGGTGGTTGAGCACCAAAGTTATTGTTTATCTAAGGTACACCACATCCCCCATTATTGTTCTATCTTGTTTGAACAAACCCATATATCTAAGAGTTGAAAAACGGTTGACCAAAGTTGTTTGCCTCTACCTTTGTAATTCCTGTTATCTCTATTGGGTCCAAAATTTCGTTGTTGTCTAACAAAGGGCATACTTTGATTTGGATAAGAGTGTTCTTCAGAGACATGAGGCTGGTTTCTAATTTCATGGCTTTAAAGAAGAGGTATAATCTCATAATAAGAAGGATTGGGGGACTTATGCATGTGGTAGAAAAACTCTCATCTTTTGGTCAAAATCCATTAACAAGCCAAAATACCTTATTTTCATCTGGTTTGGGTTTGCGAAAATCCATTGAGTTTGCGTATGTATTATAATAGAGTCGAATTCCCTTTCTTGCAGAGTTGGAGTTGCAAGGTAAGTTGGAACTCCCTAGCTTGAGAACTACCTGCATAGGCATTCTTGAGACATTTCCAAACCTCTGTAGAAGTATAAAGGCCAACAACAAGACTGAGACAGTCTTCTAACAAGGTCACCATGATCCAAGCTTTACGAAGCCGGTTGAACTTTAGTTATGATTTGTAGTCAGGGTTTTTGATTTCACTCTTACCATCAGGAGAGGAAATCTTTTGATTTGGCATAGGGCAATCACCATCAATGAATCCAAAAAATTCCTAACTCTCAATCAATAAGAGCATTTGGGTTTCCTATAATATATAGTTGTCTTGTGTCAATTTAATTGACACAAAATTTTCCACATTAAGACTGAATTGTTGAGGATGAAGCATCCTTTTGAGCAAAAAGGTATTTGAGGACAGATAAATGGGTTTGGAGAAGTATGACAATAGCATTTGGATTTGAATTTTTTTTTTTTTTTTTTTTTGTGGACTATGTAAGATGGTTTTACTGGAGAGAGTGCGTTAAACAGAAGAGATGGGAGAGGTCGAAGGACACTTAGAGAAGGACATGAGGGCTTTTGGGAAGGATAAAAAGAAAATGGCTACCAATTTAAATCGGCAATTTAAAACCAGTTTTCTCGTATTGAAATGGCATTGATCGAATTGGCAATTGAGGAAGGTAAGCAAGGGTTTTCTCGCAATCAAGTAATTGATATCTTTACCAAGCCTCTGCCATGAAATGTTTTTTGAGATCTTTGCTTCAAATTCGGACTTCAAATATCTCTTCAGTGGAGTTTACGGGGAAGTAATAGAAACAAAATCTAGTTTCTGGAAAGGCCACAGGGTAGAATATTGCCATTTCCTTTTTAAGGCAATTATGCACAACACCTGGAAGAAAATTAGAGAGAATGTAACAAGATAGAAAAGTGTATACTATCTGTGTAATATATAGGAAAGTGTAAACAATGTAATTGTTATATGAGTTGCATAATTGTATCATCATTACATATACAATGAAAGAACCACCACAATGGTGGGGAGGTACAATTATTTTTCAAGAGTTCCTTTCTCCTTCTAAAGTTCTTTATGTGGCTACTGCTTTAACATATTAGTTTTCTTATCGCCATCTCCATGATCTGGTTGAATGTTTTCAACTGGATTATAACTTTTTGATCCAAGGATTAGGTGAATGTTCCCATCTGTATGTACTCACAGCAGTACAGCCTGATGTACACTCCTTACATGCCCATATTATAGTTAATTACAAAGGTTGTTTTGGTTGGGGGTGGGGGGTTGGTCGGTCTTTGATAGCATTTGTATTTTGTATTCTGGGGGCCTTCTCCTTTAAGATAAAATTTAATTAAAGAATATCAATATAGGAGGGATATTTGACCAAGCTAAACTCATGTTCAAAGAACTTTTGAACATATTAAATAGAATTTTATGTCACGCCACAAAACTTGCAGAATGAAACATTAAAGATTCAAATGCATTACATAAACTGATCAAACTTCAATAGCATGTAGGATCATTGCAGAAAAATCATTTGTTTACCAAAAATATTAAAATTTTCAAAGTATCGTCATGAGAAGGAAATAAAGTAAAACTCTCAAAACAATTAAAAAACAGAAAACAAGAAAAGTCAATATGTTCCTAAAATCGTCACCATCCCCAAACACTGAACAATAACAATGACCAAAAAAAAAGAAATAGAAGCCCCAAATGAATATTACCTCGTTAGAGCATAATCCTTAAAGCCATTGACCAAGCATCGGGCCTCCAAAGTTCCAATGCATCCTCGAAGACGAGGCTCCCCACCGTTAGTGATTTTCTTCCAGGTGACAAACAAGGGACTGTAATAAAGTCCCTCATAGTAAGAGTTAAAAAGAGAATAAGGCCAAACTTTTATGCATGCCATTCAAGAGAAGCACATTTATCAGTATTTATAACGAAGTCATATCAACCTGTACAAAAAGCAAGTGATCATACCAGACAACTCCTATAGATATAATGGTGATAAAACAGATAAGAAGTTTAGGCCGATAAGCAAACTGTGTGTATTACAGAAAGCATTTAGCCAGAGAAGCAAAGAAGAAGCGTAATTTCTTTTTATTAAAGCACATATCATCAAGGAATTGCAAAAGAAAAAAAGGCTTGATGATCCTTCAATTGAGAAACAGATGAAGTAAAATATATAAAAAGTGGAGTCAGTCAACATGGTTTGTTTCTGGGGACAAACTTCAAATGTGGAAACCCTAACTTCCTTAAAAACACTCTTGGGGTATCTACCACTATGCCAAAACCTAAGGGACCAGATGAAACATAAAATAACTACATAATAACCCAAATGCCAAACAATACCAGACTCTCTTCCCCAACAGAATATAAGTCAGCCTCAAAAGCTAATAATATGAACAAAATCATCAATTTAATTGAACACAAGTTAGGAAACAGCAATGCGATCATTTTCAAAATATAAAGGTAACCCTTCAACAGAAATATAAAAACGAGGTGACACCCCAACTGTAGAAAAGAGAAAAACTCGACCAAGAAAAATGTTGGTGCAAACGGATAAATTCAATCACAATTATGTATTAAGAAGAATACTTATTAAATCTGGAAGAAATAAAACAAGATTCAGCATGGATAAAATATGGCAGGCTGATGCGCTCAATGGAAAAGGATTTACTCTGTCCATAACTCATCCAAATTCGAATAGAGAAACTGCCAAGCATAACCATTACTCAATCAAAACCCAACTAACATGAAACATTGCAGATAGAATTAACTAATATCCAGTTCCAATATAATGATCAAAAAAAATTGTTTCATCCGGCAGGGACCGCATTTCTACATTTGCAATCCCCGAGGTATAAAGCATTTATCTTAAAGATGGATGCAAATAGGTGGTCCATCTAAAAACAATTGAAACTAACAGTCCAAATAGTTTCTTAATAGAATTATTATTTTTAATTTTCAAAAAATTATTTATTTTTTCATATTCATGATCTCCATGTTAGAGATTACATGTCATTAAAAATTAGGTCCAAAAATCCATCTCAAAAATAGATGACTCATTTCTACATGGACTCATAGAAACTGTGTCCAATGATCAAACACAAGCTACCAATTCACGAAAAAAAAACCAAGCAAACACAAAAGTAGAACAAAGACTCAAAAGAAATTTTATATTGGAATTGCATAAACTATCTATGACAAGGAAGAATTCCTAACGTTCAATTGAATTATCCTCCCCTTGTGTCAACTTTAAAATAATATAACGAAGGAAAAAACCAAAAGGAGGCAGGTAAACAAATAAATCAGATAAAAAAAAAAAAGTGACAACAAATACATGATTCAAAATCCATAATCATTGGTTTAGCGACTTATGTCCCAATTTCTATGTGAATGGAAATAAAAGGTCTGATTGATACGATAAGGAGCAATAATGTTTTCTATTTTAATTCTTAAACTGCATGTTCCCCTTATTCATGATTTTACCATCAGATCAAGGAAAAAAAATAATTAAGTTCTCTTGCATAAATATATTGCTTTATTTTCCATCAATTTCTCCCTACTTTACTGAATCTCTTCAGTTACATTATACACACTATTATTAACTGAAAGACTTCAAATAAACAGCAATGAAAAAGCAAACAAGGATGATAATCAAAGAAAGGCAAAAACTTACTACTGGCCTGCATCAAAAGCTGGAGGGGGCGCTTGCTCACTGGTGTAGTGAGCCACCAAAGTGTCAAAGCAATAGACCACCATTTCCTTATTAGCTGACACCATTTTATAATGCAAAAAGCGAACCAGAAAAACCAGCGAGGATCTGAAAATATAAGGAAGATCGGAACCAAAAAATCAGAGCTTTGAGTTCCAGAACATCTAAGCAAGTTCTACACCACTTTAAAGCACAAAATAAATGCAAAGACGAAAGAATAACGGGGAAATGTGTAAAAGAAATTGACAACAAGGGTGGTTTCAGAATTGGGTTTTCTGGGATGAAATTTCCAGACTTGAGCTTCTTCTTTTTTCTTTTTTTTTTTTGTAATTTTTCTTCAAAAAGAAGCTCACTTTCTGGAATTAATCCCAAAATTGAAGAAAAAAATATCAGCTTTTCCAAAGGAGAAGCAGAGCATTTATAGGCATAATTCTAGGTGGACATGTCTAAAGTACCCTCGTCTTACGTCATCTATCCAAATTAACTTTTTTCATTACTAGGTCATTAACTTTTTCATTACCCAATTTTATTACAACATATAATTTTGATGTAAAATATTCATAAGATTAAATCTATTTTTTTATCTAATTATAAAATTTTAAACTCCTAAAATAGTTAAAATCAACTAGATCTATAAATATAAATATATGAAAATCTTTAAAATGAACGGTCTAGATAAAGTGTTACAAAATGTACTATTTTTAGGATTCAAAATTCTTTCTATTTTTCATAACCATATATCTCAATATCGAGATGATCAATTAAGAGTGTCTTTCAACATTAAAACAATATTTTCCGATAGATTTTCAAAGTGCATCCGTAATTCTACATTTTAAGGTTGCAACCTTATATAAACTTTTTTCTAAGAAGATTAACTAAAGTTAATCTATTTCTTTATCAGTTTTTTTAGGATTAACCTCATGATGATTAATGATGAAAAATTGTTTCATGCTGGCTAGACCGCATTTCTATATATACAGTCCGAAAAGTGTAAAGCATCCATCTTAAAATGGATGCAAGTAGGTGTTCTATTTAAAAACCATGAAACTAACAGTCCAAATATTTTCTTACTAGAATTATTATTTTAAGTTTTTAAATATACTTATTTTTTATATTTGTGATCTCCATGTTAGATATTACATGTCCTTAAAAATTAAGTCTTAAAATTTATCTTAAAAATAGATTTATTAATAGGCCCGCATTTCTATGCATACGGGCATGACCGCATAGAAACCAGCTCCTTTGATGATTGGCTATTAGGAGACCCATTACCTATTGGACAAGAAGGTCACAATCGTTTTTAGCCATTGGATGAAAAATCTAATAAATTCTATATCAGGTTTTTCAAGATTAACCCAAGATATTTTTTTCTACGATAGTTATCTTTTTCTCTCTCAAGTTTTTTAAGATTAACCTCATTTTTTAAGGATTGTATATTATAAGACCCATTACTTATAAAAAAAAGGAGGTCGGAAACTTTGTTAGCCATTCGATTCGAAATCTAATAAATGAAAGTATGCCACAATATTCAATAGATTTAAATTCGGACATTGTGCCACCTCTATTTGAAATCCGATTGATAATAATTGTGACATCTATGTATCAAAAATAAATAGTTTCATTATATAACATCAGGAACTACAAAATCAGTTTTGTACCCTAGTCTTACTAGACGTTTTTTGCATAAGATAGTGTCGTACTAGACTTTGTGCGCAAAACAATGACAATCTCAAGCTCCTCTATTGCTTAATAATAATTATGACCTCTATATACCGAAAGTAAATGGTCTTGTTATATAATATTTGCAGGATATAGAAAATAAGTTTTATACCCTTGTCTTACTGGATAGTAATAATAGTTAAGGAAATTTTGTGTAAAGCACCCAAGAAATTTAAAAATGTCAAACATATCAGGTTTGGAATAGTTGAAACTTGAAAAAATAATAAAATGACTTACGCAAAAAATAATAATAATAAAATGCTACCGGATAAGTTAGGTATATATAGATAAACTTCCCAATATTGTATATCTATATTAAATGGAGCTTCGGTGGTCTCCACCTATTTGGGTGCCCCTTTGAAACTACTCTTAATAAGTGGCACTAGAGTCATAGGAATCGTAAAAGCCAAAAGGGTGGCATCGGGCCTGGGCCCAAGCCCAGCCCTTGTCCCTATATGGATGGCGTCCAAGCCTAGCCTAACCCTATAGGGCCACGGTTAGACTAGGCCGGTCCAAAAATCATTGAAAAAAAAATAAAAAATAAAAAAGAATGGTCAAGCCAGCACTAGCACTAGCACTAGCCCTAGCCCTAGCCGCACCCTCGGGCCATAGTTTGTGCGCAAGACCTTACTTTCTTAGGGCCAGCCCGCGGGGCCCTTTGCCAACCTAGAAGGCAATAAGCAAATCTTGAGCATAAACAAGGTTTTGGTGGACTTGCCGACCCAATCTATTCTCGTATCTCTGCAGATGGATCTTGAATAAAAAATTTCTTTCTCGGCCCCCAATTTGAAAAACAAGTTATTGAATTTCAATCATAGTCTATTTTCACCCATGCTTAAAACAAGGTTATGAAAAATATATCAGTGGGCTAGAGCCCCTTGCTAGTTTTTTTATCCGGTTCAATGGATCGGCGTCTTGAAAAAACTAAAAAGAAAATAAAAAAAATTAAGTGGGGGCCAACCGAAACTGGCCAAAACTAACACGTTCAACAATTAAATTTTTAAAAAATATAGACTAATTTTTGACAGAACATGATAGTTCTATTGGAGAAACCCTTTGATTCCCAATATTTTATGGGATTCGGATCAATCCGACTAATCCCCGGTCCAGATTAGCCGGTTTCGATCCTGATCACCAATTTTTTAAAGTTTTGACTTATAACTATCTACCATCGTGCGTATGCTTTTAAGGTGCAAATTCATGGCTCTGTTTGTAATGTGATTTAGATGACTTTCTAACTTCAAAATCCATAAGAAATTGTAGTGGACTCATGCGTCCAGGACGCCTACCGTTCGACGAGAAACTTAATATAAGAATTTTGTTTCTTTGTTTAATTTGCTCCAACTTCTAAACATTTTTGGTCTTCTCATTGAAATTTACTCTAATCAGGTGAATCAAATTCAAAAGATTTATATGTTTACTGAATTTCGAATCTATAATTTTGGGGGACACTTCTTTGACGGTTGCAAAAAAAAAAAAGGGATTTTGGTTACAGGGTATTTTTGGGAATGTTCATAAAATGGTGGCTTTCTCATTATTGGAACATATGTACCGTCCTTTTTCTAAAGCTTAATCATTGAACGCGTGCCACATTGATCTTGGGACCCACTCTCTCGCAACAGATTCCAAATTTTTCAACGCATGCAATTTGTATAGGCCTAGCCTTTCGTGACAAAGTAAAGCCTCACCTTAGATCCTCTGAAATTTTTTTTTTTGGATATTAGAAATTTTTATGATTTATAAATTTTTTTTATTTTTTATTTTCATTTATCAAAAAACTTAAAAATTTAAATTATTTCTTACGACATAAAGTTTTTATCTTTTCTATCTTTCTACCCTAGACCCCGTTAATCATACATTATTATTCTAAATATTTTGTAAAATAACTCCATCTCTATCTCTATCAAAACTTTATATCTCACCTCTCTCATCCTCTCTTTTCTCTTTGAATGTCTCCAACTCTTAATTTGGTCACCTTTAAATTTGGATCTTTAGCTCGAGCCATCTATATTCCTCTATCTCTCTTTCTCTCTCTAGTTTTATGTAGAAAGAAAGAGAGAGCATGTTATCTCCTCTATTTCTCTCTCTAGAGAGAGGGGATGGCGCTAGAGAGAAGATGTGTTAGCAGAGCTGCTCACAGTGCGACAACAATGGCCATAGCTCGGGAACTTGCTTGCAGGATAGCAGCAATGACAATGACGTTGTTGTGGTATTTGGGATAAGATTAACAGAGGGATTCAATTCCAATAATACTTCCCATATAAATAATTCGATAAGGAAGACGATCAGTTGCAATAATCTCTCCCAATATGGCACGTCACCAAAGACGATGTCTCTTTCTCTCTCTTCACGTCCCTCAATGTCCTGTTTTTTAGAAACTTTTTTTTTATGAGAAACTCACCTCACTCAATCTCTATTGTATTTCTCCTTGTATTTATTAATTCCTAGTTTGAAAGTGGTTGATTTTCAGTTATATTTTGTATTTACTCAATTTTAGCTAGATTTGGGTTTTTTGATTCACTTCACTAATTTTTTTTTTCAATAGAGTTCTCTCGAAGCAGGTCTCAACTGAGTTTGAGGTTTATGATTGTTCATCTTTGTTCTTTTGAAACTCTTTCCATTTTTTGGGACAAAAAAATAGATGCAGAGGTTTCAGAGAGAGAGAGGGGAGAGATAGAGGGTTTTGAGGGAGATTGACATTGAGTCATCTTACAAAATGTTTAGGTCAATAATATATGGTCAAAAAGATCTAGGGGATAGGAAGATACAAAAGATAGAGACTTTATGCCGCAAGAAATAGTTTAAATTATTGGGTCTCCTACGAAATGGAATCCAAAAATATAGAGTTAAGAGATATTTTCCCAAAAAATAAGTACAAATCTTGTAAATTTGTGAACATTTATTTTTACGGCAAAATGGACCGTTTAGAGATTGTGTTACAATATATACTATTTTTTCGATTTGAAATCTAAATTTTTCAACAACCATTGTTGTCGAGACGAGATCATTGATTTAAAGGTTTTGTCAACTCTAAAACTACAATTTTTTGCGAGTTTTTGAGTGAGGCTTTACTTATTTTAACGAGGGGTGCAGCCCTACCAAACATTTTTCTTTTTCAATTTCTCACATAAATAGTCTAAAATATCTCTCTTAAGTCTTCCTTGTCCGCTGGATTGACAGTGGGCGGCCGCTGGCGTGTCATTTGCAAAGCTTAAAATTTTAAGGAGAATTCATAGAACACCCCAAATTTCCAAATTAAACATAAGAAAGATTGGTATTCCTTCAAATCGGACGCCTACAAATGTGTCGTTCACAAGTTCAAAATAGTGTTCAAAACGACCGATCGGGCAAACTAGTCGGTCCTAGCCTGATCCGATTAGTCCGACC